TTACTGAGTCCTTTTTTTGACACTTTGATTTCTGTTTTGGGTGGGTTTTCGCTATTTTTTTTGAGCTATGGTCTTAAACTTTTGATCAGCTGAAAAAAATCATGTTTTAGTGTAAATGCAGTTTTCAGAAAATTCCCTGCTCAAAAGTTTTTGTCTCTTGCACTGATTTCTTCTTTTAACATTGTGAAGCTCTACTTAGAACCTTCTTAAGATCCAATAGTATAAAATGCAAATTCTTGCACTTTTTTGACTGGTCTCAAGATTTTGATCAGGAGTGTACATCTACAAAATCATCAAGACCACTTCTTCTAGAATACACTTCACACCCTCAAGCTGATCAGAGGCTAGGATAAATAAATGTCAGTATTCTCAGTTCTCAAACATTTTGGGTCTGGTGACCCCTTACAAAGGTAAACATAAATTCCAGGGACTCCCTCATAAACCTTATTCTGATTTAAAAATAATTTACTGCCATTTTAACCCCTAAATGCCAGGGGAATAAACTTTTTTTATGTTTGTTACATTGTAATATGCATTTATGCAATTACTTTTTTAAATACAAAACAAAAATCAACAAGTTTTTTGTATTATTGGAGGACCCCCAAGCCACAGCTGGGGGGTGGCCCTGGCACCCAAGTTAGAGAACCACTGCTTGTGTTGTTCTGTACAAAAGTTGTAACACAAGCTCAGCAAGTTATGCCTGTGCTGGAGCTTCCCCTTGTGGCATTTTTGTGAATTGCTGGAATTTTCTGTTGCTGAAAGTGAGAAATAATCCCCAAAAGTTGAACCAACTCTTGGATTAAGACTCCATATACATATCATAATTAATGCTGAAAAATAAAAGCACACTTCTCAACTTCAGAAATTATTAATAAATGCATTTTACTAATTACAAACAGCCACACTAAACAGTAGAAGGAGGATACAGAGACAATAAAGTGGCAGAGGGTGTGTCCTGTTCAGCAGGACTGATCCATTGTCAGAAAGAAACGAATCTCTACAAGAAACGTTGTGCTGCTCACAGGGGCCTGTCAACAACACAAGGAGCTCTAACTATACCTCCAGTAAACGACAGTTCTTCAGCAGGACCTTGGACAGCATGACAAGGAATAAACTCAGTAAGGAAATAAATACTTTTAGAGATTTTCATTCATTGTTTGAGTGTGTGGTTTCCCTTTTTGTTGGTTCTGCAAATTATGCTGTCATTTTTTTACTTCAACTTTTTTCATTTTTGCATGTCAAGCACATTCATTTTAAAGATTTTGAGTTACAGTATTTTAAGCTTTGTTTATTATTATTTTATTGTTGTTATTATTAATATTATTTTGTCATTTATTCTGTTTCTACCTTACTAGACAAGGTCACACTTAGCCATGCACAGATAAGAACCAAGGAGCACGTTGTCTCTGCTGGTTAAACTTGACTAACTGGTTAGTTTAGTGTCAGGGTGAATGCTCATTGTCCTTGAAAACAGGCAACCTTATACTATGTACTTTAACAGCACTGAGAAATTGCATGTATTATAAATGTAGAAAACATCATAATACTCTGCATAATTTAACACAAACAGTATTTTATTTTCACATTGCCAAAAACAACAACTATTCAATGTATTTGGGAAGGAAAACTAAGAAACTGCAAAAAGTATTTCAAGTTTTTCTGGTAAACCTTTTACAGCACCGACTAAAATATTTGACAGTTTAGTTGTCATCTGGCAGTTGTGTCTGTCCAAAGTTAACTGGTAAAAATTGTATCTGATTGTTGTAAGAACCACGCTGTTTCTGCTTGCTTTGTAGATCTGTTTGGTCTGTTACATTCAGGTTTGTGCTCATCTTTAAAAGTGTTGAGTTTCCACAGAGTGACTCAGCTAAAGTCAGGGTCCAGCTCAGTGTTGTCAATGCATGTTTCACTTTATACTTTTTGCATTCTTAAAAATATATTTGCTAAATTAATGTCCAAAGAAGGCCACATATTACAGACAAATAACTGAATCTTTTCAAGCATCATGTCATTCATTTGTCTTTTTCAGGAAGCAAGCGCACGTTCGCTGAAGCAGCCACGGGGTTTGCCCTGGGAGCAGTGGGAGGCTGCATTTTGGGGGCCACGGAGGACCCAGTGGGCAGAATCATGTCAGCGATGACTTCAAGTGGTCCCCTAAAACCGGTGATGGTGGAAGTCAGGGCAGTGGGTGCCCTGGGGCTGGGCACCCTTATGGGCACTACAGCACTGACGACAGCTATGACATCAGTGATAGCTGGTGTGGTTTTAGCAGCGGTGACTGCTTCAGTATTTGTAGCTTTTAGAAGTTGCACCGTCTCCCACAAAAACTCAGTCGGCTTGTGGGTATCGGCAGGAACTGCCGGCACACTTGGAACCACAGTCAGCGGAGCCACATTTGGAAAAGCAATTGAATGGCTTGTGAAGAATTATGGTATGGTTGGGATTCTGGGAGTCCTGAGCCTTTTTGCTGCGTTAAAACCACCCCTGTATGTTTTATTCAAGGTCTGCTGGGACTGGGGAGAGACCTGCTGCAATCAGAGGTCTAATGTCAGGTCCAGGGAGAGGGAGCACATAGAAAATACTGAGTGGCTGCAGAGAAAGAGGGTGGCTGTGAAAATCGAGCAGAGCATCCTTTCAATAGAGAAGGGAGGCAGCACCAGAGAACTGGACGACAGAACCGAATGGGTCACTGAGCAAAGAGAAAGAGAAGAAACAGAGAGGAGGAAAACTGAAAGGGAAGAAGCCAAAATGGAGCAAAGAACCATCCAAGACTGGATCAGCACAGTGGTGCTCAACTATGTTGAATTCTTAGCCTTTTCGGGAATACCAATGACAGCAGTTACCATTGTTACATCAGCGTTTGGTTTGTTCGGTTATGGAAACCACCAATCTGTGTTTGTGGCACTTCTGGCTTTACTGTCAGCCATCGCCTATTTTCTTTTAAAATCTACCAATTTTAAGTTTTGGATGTTGGCGGGCTGCATGGCAATGTTTGCAACCTTCGTCGTCGCCATGCTGACTCTTCACGCCGGGCAGGTGGTCGTGACTCATGCCATGAGGATGAGAGAGGCCGGGCACAATCAATCCAGAGAAACCATCAGCGCTCAAATGAACTACCAGTCGTCCTTGGAAGCTGTGAATGCAGCGTTCTTTGCGGCAAAACTGTGTCAGCTGGGACTGGGCGCTACGGTGGGAGGGACGTTAGTAAGACGGGCAGCTGGGGAGGTTAAAGTTATCGTGGGAGCTGCTTTGGTGACAGTGGGGTTACTGGCGGGGATTGAAGCTTTGGCCACAGCTTTGGGAGACGCGGGGACAGCAGGAGCGATGCTTGGAGTGGTTGGAGCAGCAGGCGTATCTGTTGGAGCAGCACTAGCTTCAGCTACAAGGTGGTCCTCACGACTGGGAACTTGGGGAACAGCAGGAGGGCTGATTGTGGGAGCATTAGGAATGGGAAAATGGCATTTGGTCAATATTGGACTTCAGCTCCCAGTGGCCTATGTGTTTGCAATGATTAATCCACTTTAGCTAAAGATACGTGTGTTAGAAAGTAATGTCCTGTATTATTGTATGGTACTATTTTTTCATTATTCATTTCATTAAAAACAAACAAAACATTTCACACAATAAAACAATACAAATAAAGCAAAATGAAAGGCAGCAGAAGAAAAATCTGCTCCTTTAAAAAAATATTTCAAACAATAATAAACCAAATAACAAACAAAACAAAGAATTTAATTCCTCAAACTGTACTTAATACAAATTAAACAATTTCATATTTCTTTAACAACTTTTCTATTGTTTTCTTAAGGAATTCACTGATCCAATGCTTTTATGGTCATTTTCCAGATTATTCCACAGTCTCATACCTTTTACAGAAGTGCATCTGTCCTTCAAATTTGTTCTGATTTTCGATTCAACAAACATATGTAATCCCTTCAAATTAAAGCAGCTTTCCCTCTGAACAAAATTTGATTGGATGTTTGATGGCAACACATTTCTATGAGCCTTATACATAACCTGCAGAATGTTATAATCAACCAACTCGTGAAATTTTAACAACTTTAATTGATGAAACAATATATTAGAAGGGTGATAGTAATGCTTTCTTGTAATAATTATTATGGCTCTTTTTTGTAAAATGAAAATAGGATTAATATGGTTTTAGATGCATTTCCCCAGACTTCTACGCAATAAATCAAATGTGGAACAGTTATTGCATTATATAATGTAAATAGTGCTTTGTCATTAAATGATTCCTTAACTTTATACAGTACTGCAATAGATTTTGCTATTTTTGTTCTTAAGTTATTTATATGAGTTTTCTATGTCAGTTTTTCATCAATGACACACAAAAACTTCACCTCATTGACTCTACAGATCTCAACACATCATTTTCTTTCTATTACTAAATATTGTAATTTGTTTTATCCAAGTTTAATGATAATTTATTATGTTTAAACCAATTTTGTACTTTTACAAATTTCCTTTTCATAATTAACAGCATCTTTTCTATGTTTTTACCCAAGCAAAAAAAAATGTGGTGTCATCTGCAAATAAAACACATTTAAACAACCCTGATTCATTTACCAAGTCATTAATATTTAGGAGAAAAAACTTTGGTCCTGTAATAGAACTAATACTTTTATGTTTAAGCAAGTTATTCATGACATCCTTTAATGACCTAGGTTTTCATGACATGCTGTTCATCTGCAGACAGAATGATTGAAGTCAGAACAAGATTTGCTAACAACAGTCATTCTTAGATATCACTTGTGTTTATCTTTGTTTTCCATTGACCTTGTATCAAATCTTGCTAAGATGACATAATGATGTTTGTTAATATATATATGAGGCCTCTCAAGACACAGTGAGTAGTGTGGAGCGACAGTGACAGAGAGAAGCAGAGGCACAGAGACAGGGCAGGTTGTTCTCTGTGTTTCCTGTTGTAAAAAAACTCAGCTGATCATCTCACGGAGTACCTTCATTCTTGGACCACGTATTTTTGTCTTTGTTAAATAAATATTGCCATAACAGTCCCAATATAGAACCCTGTGGAACCCCACATACAATATTGTAAAGTCTATCTACTCCTTATTAAAAAAATATTACTGTTTTTGTGTCAGAGAACTTTTTGTTGTAAATTAAGGTTATGCATGTTTTTCCTTATGATGCCAAATGCAACTAATTTCACACACTAGTACACACCAGGTGATCAAAGTATTTTCACAGCATTTGTCATTTTAAGTATGCTTTCTTCTGAGTGCAGCTGTAGTTGCCAGATCTTAGAGAACATTGTTAAACTATTGAGGCATGTTTTCTGTAAATGATGTCAAAAGACTGGAACAAATATACAATTTCTTACATAACTTTATCTTTGTTTTACTGTTTTTGTTTATTTTTGATGATACTAATGGACATATTTAAATTACAGAGTAATGTGAAACAGATTATTTGACTTGAGCAACCAGGAGAAGGTTTCTCAGTCAAAACTGCTGCTCATTTCTGCTCCGATTTTCCCCTCAACGTCCACATCACATCAAATCAAGGTGGTTTTAAAATGGTTTGTTTATGTTTGTTTATTTATCCAGGTAAATCCCATGGTGGATCTGAGGCCTGGACTTGAAGGCAATCTAACGTACATGTTTTTGGTCTGTGGGAGGAATCCAGAGTACCCAGAAAAAACCCACACAAACATGACGAGACCATGCAAACTCCACACAGAAAGACCCCAGGTCTGAATCAGAGATCAAACACAGGACTTTCTTGCTGTAACCACTGAAAGTCTGTGATGCCAAATGTGTTAATTATGTTGGTTTGTTTGTTTTAACTAACCAAGACACAACCAAGTAAAAAAAGGAAAACATGTCTATGTAAAATGTGTTTGATAGGTTTATGACAGATCTATATTTTTATTTAAATGTTACAAGTTGTATCTATGTTTTTTAACAATACCTGTATCTTGTGGTTAAAAAGTTCAAAGACATGTTCTCAAGAGAAGATTTACATTTTCAAAATAGTTGTTAGTACTAACACACTGTTTAACAGTCAATATAAAACACTGGCAAAATAAACCCATCTGCTTTAAATTGCGTGGCTCACTTTAATAGTATCGAACTATTCAGTAAAACTGGCTTAACATTTTAAATACTTGATTAACTATTGCAAAGCTTTTTCTTTTCTGTAAATGTGCCACAGTTTATGTAATTATTATCTAAGAATTTTTTGGATTTATTCAGGTTTTATGAGTTTTAAAGAACCATTATGTGGCCCTCCCTTATGTGTTTTTCACTTTGGATCCATCCACCCATTTAAAGGTCCCATCAGTTCTGTGTAGACCAATCCAAAAAACAAGGTACTGATCCCCTGAAACTGAATGTTCACTGAATGATGCACAAGAAAACCATAACTCATTATGTTGACAAAACCATGGGAAATTACCTTATCTTCATTAAACGCTCCTCATTATTTTGTGATAAAACCATGGAAAATAATCATATGTGGAAAACGGCCACTCTCGGCTTCTGTACATTTCATTTATGCATTGCGTGGCACCCAAGAATATTTAACCATTTAAAGTCAACCCCACCCCAAAAAAAAATGTTTTGAAATTTTATAACTTGTGTTTTGATTATTTATGTTGTGTGGCACTGACTCACACTCACAGTAAATTCAGGTGCAATACCAGTTTGTGCCAGTAGCAAGCAGAAGTGGCACATGAGAGAGAACAAAGCCACTGCTAAGAAAACTTAATTTCTGTTGTCACAGAATAAAAGACAATCAAAATCAGTGCGTCTGCTGTCACGTGTGTAATAATTGTTTTTGTTTTCATTGTATACAGATTATTATGTTTATTTTAATCTGTAAATAAATTTATTAATTACAGACATGTGCTTTAGTAAATTAAAGCTTACTCTTTCAGTACTTCTTTGTCCAAGTTGCCTTTCCCTCCTCTCTCATAATTTAAACCTCAAATGTGTGTACATATGTGTGAAATTCACTAAGAATAAAACAACACCACACTTTATTACTCATCCACTGGTTCCAGAAACACAAGTCTTTTTGCAAGTTTTGCAGTAGTATGCTATTTTTATTTTTGTTTAAAAACAACACTTTTGTGTAATATTTTGTCTGAGGGTTAACATGATGATGATTTCACTTCCTTTAGCTATACGCTAACATTTCTTTTGTTTGCTTTGTTTACACACACATTGAAAAAACGCCTTTCTTAATGTCAAGCATGATTCACCATGAAATATCAAGTTACCAGCTTAATACAATAAGGATATGATTAATAACCTACGTGGTTACTTCAGAAAAATGTACTTGTACTTTGAGTGAAGGAAATGACAAAGTTCTCCTGTGGTGGTGATGATCAACAAAAAGTTTGTGCAATTTAGGAAATGTAGAAATGTGTCATTTCATCTAAAGATAGTCATCACATGGCTGACTTTACTTATAATAATATTAAATTAAATTGTATGATTTTTTAAATTATTTTTTCATAGCTTTCATTGCTTTTTACAATACAAGGAGAAATTATGTTGTGTTGAGGGATTTTTGATTCTATTGGATCATTTTATCTTAAGCAAATACATAGCTGTTTGGTTTTAATGTCTTGTTTTATTTTTATTGTGCGCTTGAAGTTGTGAAGACTGAACTTGATCTGATTGGCAGCAGTAAAACCATTGAACCATCAGCTGAAAATGTGTCATCCTTTAAACACAATACTGTTATAGAGGACTGAAATTTATTAGGAATAAAAGCAAAATTATCTATAAATGCCCTAATAATTAAATGCAAATATAATGCACCAATTATTTTAAAATGGAGAACTTTACCTCATGTTTTATATTTTAAATAACTTTCATATTTACTTTTCCAGCTTAGTTCCAACAAATTATGTATTTTAGCACATCATTTAAAATTTACTTTCACTGTATGTATACATTACATATATATTGTTTTTTTCTTTTACTTGTAGATGCACTTGTGTCTCAAATTTTTTATTGTTCCACAAGTCTTTTTTATTTCCATGTGTTGCTTTTACATTTTTCTGTGTACTTTTTTAAATTCACATTATGCATCGTGGCATACATTACCAAGAACCAAATAATTACATTACCACTACTTTTCTGTTTGAAAAGGAGTAGGAAGAAGTGAACACTTATTTAATCCTACCCCTTATTTACAGATGCACTAATTAGCAAAATTTGAAATTAAAACCTTATATGCATGTGCCTGTTCAACATACTTCTTCCACTGTAAAAAATGAAATGTTGGATTTACTTAACCATGTTATGTTACCTGGTTCCACTTAACTGAGTTGAGTAAATTCAAAGCAATATACCAGTTTTTTAGCCAAAGAACATGAATATGTTGCTTTGAATTTACTCAACTCAGTTATGTGGAACCAGGTAATGTAACATGGTTAAGTAAATCCAACATTTCATTTTTAGAGTGCTGATGCAACTATTCAGTACACAATGGACACCAAAATACAACACTCGGTGCACCAGTAGCTTATTGCGTCCCTTTCATTCCAGTCATTTTCTTTCTATTCAGGCTGTGTCAAATGTTCCATTTTGCAAAGAATTGGATCCAAAATCAGAAAAACTTTGACACAAATGTTATTTATTCCAAGACTCTTTTTATAAAATGTGGCTGAAAAATGAAATACTGGAAACATTGCAGGCAATACTTTAAATGTAAACCAAAATGCGTATAATCACAGAATAAGAAATTAAGAAAATAAAAATTAAATATATTGGGGTATAAGAAATATCCACTATTAACAATCAGTCTCCTCTGTCTTGGACCTCTTCCATCCATGCTGGTAAAAAACAACAGAGATGTTGCATTTTTTACTGATCGTAAAATGAAGATTTTTAAGAAAGGAGTGTCAAACAGCTTCTAATAATCAGGAACAGCTGGTTTATGTTTGTCATCAAAGCTTAAATGATGGAATTTGGACTTCATGAATGACATCTGTGTTCACTGTTTTGCAAAAGAGTGAATAAAATGTGTCAATCTAAGGAGAAATGGTTAACACATTTGAAAGAGGTGACTTCCGCTCTGCTGAACTTGTGATGATGAAAATGAGTGGAACCTAGTTTCTTTAATTGGGTCAAATCAACCACAAAAAAACTGTAAGTTGTGTGTCAACAAGTTCGCACAAATGATTAGAACGCTTTCAAAATGAATATCGATTTGAGTCTACATTTTAGATTTCATTCACACTCATTTTGAGCAGTAATTTGACGACTCAGGAAAAAAATGAGGCAGTGTAAAATAAAGGGCTTCAACAAAAGCTGGACATTGTGAGATATCAATGGAACATGGATACTGGTTAGCACTGCTTACCAGATACTGTGAACAGCTGTTTGTGCGATTGCTTAGGGGCAATGAAGTCAATGACGGGCAGGTTCTCAAACTATACAAGATTAAACTGTTGTGCAGCTTAAATCATTTCTATTAGTTTGTGATGTACAAACTTCTTATCAGGAAATGAGCAAACCTCTCCAGAACTGTTATGATACTCTAAAATTGGGATTAGTGCCTAAAATAGTAATCTGGAGATGCAAAATAGAGGTTTGTGTAATCATTTCACCAGTAACATTTCATTAATTACTGGTATTTCACAATATTAAATACAGGTCCTTCTATAAAAAATTAGCATATTGTGATAAAATTCATTATTTTCTGTAATGTACTGATAAACATTAAGCTTTCATATATTTTAGATTCATTGCACACCAACTGAAGTAGTTCAAGCCTTTTATTGTTTTAATATTGATGATTTTGACAAAAAGTAAAGAAAAAAATCCCTATCTCAAAAAATTAGCATATTTCATCCGACCAATAAAAGAAAAGTGTTTTTAATAAAAAAAAAGTCAACCTTCAAATAAGTATGTACAGTTATGCACTCAATACTTGGTCTGGAATCATTTTGCAGAAATGACTGCTTCAATGTGGCGTGGCATGGAGGCAATCAGCCTGTGGCACTGCTGAGGTGTTATGGAGGCCCAGGATGCTTCGATAGCAGCCTTAAGCTCATCCAGAGTGTTGGGTCTTGTGTCTTAAGCTCATCCAGAGTGTTGGGTCTTGTGTCTTAAGC